GAAAGGAAATGTTTTAAGAACAAACCTATTTTTAGTATATCTGAAATTGTTGATGCGTTAAGTTATTCCGCAATAATATTAATATATTTTTTTTGTTTTTTTTTAGTTTATTTAAGAATTTGAAAGGGTCGTACACCTTTTCAAGAAAGAAACTTCTATCACTTAAAGCCGATATTTATTAACCAGTTAAGTTAAAAACATCTTTAACTTCCTATAAACCAAATCCGGATTGCAATACGGTAGTAAAAAACGATGCAGGTAGCGTTACTAGATGAGTACTTCCATAAAAAATTTATATTTATGCAGAACACGTGTATGACAGGACTTTTACAGCAAAACATCCAAACATGTCCACCTTAAACCCCCAGCAGGTCATTTCACACGTGTAGCATTAACCTTGGGTTGTATATGTGTATCGATGCTCAGAGTAATGCCTCATTAATTACAAGCCGCAATTACGGAGTTTCCAAGTAAACAATTAATCGTACATTGTTGCAGGATGTGATGTTTTCTGTGCAGAATATGCAGATATAATTATATCATTTAGAATAATTATTTGATTCATTATGTTTGTGGTATAAGGAAATGAAACTTGTAAAATAAAATGTTTGAAATTGCATTTGTGAGTCAAAAATCAAGATAGACTATTTTAATATGTATTTATATTGAAATTTGACGTAGCCTATTGCTTTACTGAATGGCTAAGAACATTATTGAATCATTGAAAATCTTTAAGGGCTTAGGAGATGTTTTAATTATCAATTTAAATTTTAAAACAACTACGTAAGCTAAAATGTTCTTAAGTAAAGAATTATATGATACAGAAAGTCAACTCTTTTGTATAGTATAAATAAAGTAGGTAAGAATTTTTTTGAGTAAGACTTACTCACTTGGTTTACTACATTTACTTTATCCCCTCAAGCGTAAGAATATAACAATAAGTAAATTGTGAAGAAAGCGTAGTTCACGTGGACGTTTTCGAGTTTTTATCTTTTATAACAATTTCTTCTTCGTGACCTAAACCAGAAAAGTAGCTGTTAGGGTATGTGCTTGTATTTTTTTACCGTTTGAATAAGTAATTTTTGTATATGTATAAAAGCGGGATAAAGCTGATCGTGTTTGCTTTTAATTATATCGTAACAGTTTTAGTAAGAAGCTATGAAGTTATCAGAATGTTGTATTTTAATTTTGAAAATTTCCTATTTTTAAAGCTGTACTCATCAAGCAAGGGTTAATATTTTAAGTTATATAACAACGATAAAGTATTGAGAATGTTTTGAGTTAACCTCATCGTCACTAGACCGTGTGATAGCCTTTTAAGCAAGTTACTTGGTCATTACAACTTTAAACGACAGTTTTCCGAACGTTTCTGTCGTGTGATGTGGCCCTTAATCGTTCGCCATCGTCTAAAAGTACCTCTTACACTCTAATAGGTATTTGGTACCCAATCCTCATACTGCCCAATAGCTTTTAAAAGAAGATATTTTAACTACGTTTTATAACGTCCAATTATTTGTAAGATTAAAACATACATATCATAATTTGAGTTTGTAGCATTTAAATAAGAAGAAGTTCAAAAGTTACAGCTTTAAAAAAAAATATTAACGTTTCTAAATACTATAGTTATTGGATCATTTTTTTCTGAATCAGTCACCATATCAACAATGAATCTTTGTAAGCCCACCGAACAATGAATACTTAAAGACCTGAGCATTATTAATGATTCTATCCTTTCGTAAAAACAGCAATCCCATCCTCCTCTTTACTACTTTCACAGCATACACAAGAAACATCTCTTGCACAGCAACTCTTTAAACATTACAAAGAGATTGGACTAGAGGATCGCAGCATTATCACATGGCCAATGTTCATTTGTGGTCGGCAGGAATTGATACCGGTAACTTGGGAGACCGAACCACGCGTTCTACCACTGGGCCAGCTCACTCCCCAAGTATTAAGATTAAGATGTGCGGCTTAGCTATTAGTTAGAGCACGGGTCTTTTGTTCTAGTGTCTTCAGTTAAAGTCTAGTCAGGCACTAATGGCGTTATACGACGTCGACATGTCCTGGTGGTTCGGAGTCTACCCTAAGGTACAACCCATTCGTAAAAAAACTGTTTTAACTGTTACGTATAGAAACGTGATCTGCATCGGACTACCATCTCCTCTAAAAACCATGCAATAAAATGAAAATTAGACCATATTTCGGACAGTTTCATAGCAAAAAAATAAAAAAATAGCTTGTATAAAATGTTTTTAAAGTAAACTAGTGTGCTTAGGCACTGTGAACCACTGCACCAGCTGATCGTAGGCGTAGTTTCTTTAAGTGTTGCCAAATAATTGTCAAGCATACATGTTTTACATGCCTTATAAAAACAAACGGTTTTGTGTCGTTTCGTTAGAATACTGGAGTGCAGCAAAAAAGTGTGACAAAAGAAAAATGAGTGTGACAAAAGTAAGTAAATTGAGCAATTAGCTACTTTGCGTGTTATAATCAGTGCAAGAAAGCTGCTTTGTTAGGCAAATGTAGGAAACATATTTTTTTTAAATTTACGAATAGTCGTGAAGTTGGCACGTTTCTAATTTGTATATTATTCAGTTGGACGGATTAATTAATATGATTCTACGAAATTCTCAATATCGAGATGAAGGGAAGTCTTAATTACAGGAAGTGAACTCTTAGTTATTAGAAGAATGAAAAGCCCCACTCCGACTGTCAGTTTTAACTAAGAGAATGCAATTTCATCTGTTTGTTTCCTCCTGAATTCTAATCACTCTAATGATGAATTTGTTCTTTGTTATTTCACTTGAGTTTCTTTTCAAGATTTATGTGGATTTCTGATCACACAATTAGTTATTAAGCTGTATAAAATTGTTTATTATATATTTATTTTATTTTATTTATTAGATTATTATTAATTTATTTTATTTTTTAGAGTTAAGAGTAAGAACGAAAAATATATTTTGTTATGAGAATTATCTAGTCCCCCCCATAATTAATAAAGTTTTAAATTATTTATTACTATAAAAGTAATATTATCACATTAGATTAAATATTTATTTATGTATTATCTTATCATATTTATTACCATAGTTTACATTCTTATTTGTGGTCTTAGAAGGATCGTACCATTAGGTTTACTATATTCGCTTTATTCATATGTTGAAGTAATAGCTAACATATTTTGCATTCTGTCCTTAAACAAAACAACTCAATGGAATGTGCTTTAAGATACAGCATTATTTCGCTCAGTTACTTTTTTTCTTATGGTGCTTTATTTACTTGTAAACTATAAAAACAATATTTGTTCTGTTAATTTTTTCATCAGATTGAAATTTATTCCATATATATACAAAATATTTTAAACATTCAAATTCAAACATTAACCTATATTTAAAAAAAAGTGTTAAACTTAATTAAGTGAGTAGAGCTGAAATAAATACGATTTATTAAATTTAATGTAAGATTGAAAAAGGTCCTAAAGTCATAAATCATAGTAATCATAAGTATAATCCAGAGACTATTTAGCACCTCGTTCATAAAATCAAACTAAAACAGTGTTTTTACCTAAAGGTAAATGTATTTGACTGAAATAACTTTAAGTGAGACACTAAACCAAGTGTGTAAGGATAAGATAAGACATTCTGGCTCTAGAAAAGACAGGGTGAGCCAAAGCCGGTGTTACCTTTTTGCCCTTCAATTTCACCTACACTTGATCAATCTGAAAAAAGTAGTCGGCTGATATCACTCAATAACAATTTCTTGAATCCTAGTTAATATGAACATAAAGCCAAATTTATATTTTTATCCTACTAATATTATAAATGAGAAAGTTTGGATGTATGGATGTATGGATGTATGGATTTATGGATGTATGGATGTATGTATGTTTGGGACAAGTAAACACGAAAAATACTGGTCGGATTGGGCTGAAATTTGGCATGTTGATAGCTCACATTCCCGATTAACATATAAGCATATTCTTATCTCAAAAACCCTTTTGGGTTCGGCCCTGTGGCTCCGCAGTTCCCCATGTTAACCTAATGAGTATTCAAATTTAAAGGGGATTTAAGTACTGTATTTAGCCAGCTGATATGCTGTATTTAGTTCTATGATATGCAAAAGCATTAAAAATGTATAAGATTTACCAACAGGGTGCAGCACAATTATTTTTTTCATTATTTATGAAAACAGCTAATTTGAACTAAGCAGCAACAAAAAACTGTGATACACAATGAGAACTGTCAAAGTAGGATTGTTTACAGTTATGTTTGTTTTTAATTTCATGAATAATTTATGATATTTTGTGAATTTTTAATAATCTATCTTTCTCTTGTGTAGGTGAAGTAGCAGAACATTATGGCCATGATAGATGTGTAACACTATCACATACCGTAAATTTGAGGAAGCAAAATTTCTCAAACCGTGTTTTCTCACATCGCAAAAGCTAAGATCGGGTATAACTGCAATAAGCATTTTATACTTATTTGCCGTACCCGTACGAAGGACGGGTTTTCTGCTAGTATTATATATTTATAGGTTATTTCTAGACTTAGATTATTGTTTTCAAATGATCTTATTAGTGTACAAAATTTTTGTGTATATTATTAGTAACTTTTAACGTCATAAATAGTTATAAAGCTATCATATACTCATTTCGCATAAAACATTCATACGTATACTTATTACGCATTTATGAATATTTATTACGCAATGAGTACATATTAAAAACACAGACTCAAATGCAGATTATAAAATTATTTATCCAAGATCCTTACGATAGTTTTATAGTAATTACTATCTTTCGGATAATTTATTTCAAAACCTTGATACAAAGAATGCTTCAATTCCAAATAGGATGTGTCATGAAAAACAATTTACAAGGTAAAAAACTGTCTTTGAAATATAATAATTTTCTAACCATAAAGTACTTCTATATTGCTTGGGGCCATGATAACGTATGCAATAGATAATTGGAGTAAGTAGAGAAAATAAGATGGTAAGCGAAGAAATATCAAGTTTTTTGCAGTTTGAATGCTTTTTCTATGATACATGTCGTAACTTAAAATCCGCTAATTCTTCAGGCGCCCCCTCAATGAGCTGCATATAGTAGCTGTACGCAACATAACATCCATACAAATCCCAACCTGTGAAAAGAAACAAGTCGTGATAAAACACTTACTGTATTTAGAAGAAAATCTCTATACGAAGCAAATATCTAGAAATTTCAAGATTAGTTATCAGGATTGAACAAAGTTTATTGTTAGTTCAACGTGTGATACCGAAGTAGAAACCAAGTATATCAATAACCAATTAATATCCATTTCAGAGCAAAGAGCCTACTGAGCTTAAAAATAAAAAAATCCTGATAACCTAGAAGTGAGCACTAAATTGACTATGCAATGTACTATTGATCATAATGTCTTTTTTTTTAGTCCAAATATAGTCCAACAATTATTTCTTAATGGGCTTTATTCTATGGTTCAATCGGTAAAACCATCTTAATTTGATATGTTATAAAAATTACAGATAATGTCAATAGATTTGACTAACTTTGGGTTAAATTCTTATGAAAAGTCTAATTCAACAAATTATTACATTCTTTGAACTATTACATCACCTCAAAAAAGAATCTCTCCATAAAAATTATACTAGACGTTCTATTCCCATGATTAAGTTGTTACTAGTTACTTTCTCCCCCTATACCATAGTATATGGAGAAAGTATTGTTTTTGTCAGAATTTTCGAGTTTGAGTTTTGAGTGGATATATTCGTTTTGGGTCCCCCTGGACCCAAAAAGTGGTTTTCGAAGTGATGTCTGTGTGTGTGTGTGTGTTTGTGTGTGTGTGTGTCTGTGTGTCTAAATGTGTACAGAGCTAGAGACTACACCTGTGGTCCGATTTCGATGAAATTTGGTATGTAGGTTCTAATCCATGGTATCTCCAGGTGTTTTTTTCATTTTTTTGAAATTTTGATTTTTAATGGGGATTTTCCCATAAAAACCCATAAAAAACGGAAAAATCGGATTTTCTCAAAATTGGCCCGAACGATTTTGATAAAAATTTTGTATGTTGTAGCCATTCAAATTCTGAACAAAATGGTACAAATCCCATTTCTGTAAAAATTACGGTTCAAAAGTTATGGTAAATTATGTTATTTTGCCATAAAAACCCCATAAAATAACGAAAAATAGGATTTTAGACAAAATCCTGTTTTGATTTAACATTGTATGTTATGGTCCTTACAATTGTGATAGTTTTTTTATTTTTTAGAAATTTTTATTTTTAATTGGGATTTTCCCATAAAACCCCATAAAATAACGGAAAAATAGGATTTTCGCAAAAATGGCCTGAACAATTTTGATAAAAATTTAGTATGTTATAGTCCTTTATATTCTGAAGAAAAGTGTACAAATCCCATTTCTGTAAAAATTACGGTTCAAAAGTTATTGTAATTTATGTTATTTTCCCATAAAAACCCCATAAAATAACGGAAAATCAGATTTTTCCAACATTGGCTCGAACGATTTTGATAAAAATTTAGTATGTTATAGTCCTTTAAATTCTTAAGAAAATTGTACAAATCCCATTTCCGTATATTTACTCTCACCGCTTACACATGATAAAGGTTGTTGACAAGCTTATGGGAGAAAGTATGTGTCAGAATGCTGATACCGTTTATTTTTCAATCAAAATAGTCGTAGTTGATGTGTTGTGATCGTGTTGTGTGTTTTTTAATAAATAATTGGCGACAGCTGTTCCATATAGATGGGATGTCTACTTCAGTATCCAATAGTCAATGATAATACTAAGACATACTACTGGGGAACCAATTCCTTCAAAAAACCTACAAAGTGACAACAGGTTTTTGCCTAAATGAAATCAAGTATTTTAACGACCTCAACTTACATGAAAATGCTATGTAGACAAGTTCAGATCCTGCAGAATGCGTTCCAAGTAAAGGAACTACTAGGAAGGTACTGAGCAGTGACCCAAATATCGTAGCGAACACCCACCATAATATTAGCCGAGGGTGAGCAACCTGATGAAACAAATTGTAAACAATATACTTTCGGAGTGTTAAATTTGTGATTTATTAGGACTAATTGTATTAAACGAAAACTTTAGAATTGTACTCCTTTTACTATTGTAAGTTCATTAAAAAATTCTTATTTAACGTTAGTTAAATTATTTAACTTTTTTAAATACTGTAAATTTTTATTTAGTCCGACAACTACATTAGATAAGGAAAGATGATTTTTTATTGACATCCCACTGACGTTTAAATACTGAGTTTTTTATGCATAATTTATTTTGATTTTACTTGCAAAATATTTCTCATTAGAGCAAAAGATTTAAAAAAAAAAGTCCATCACCATAAATGATTGGTGAGAGACTTCCTCTACATATAATCTCCAATAGAATGAATATTTGTATCATTTTGCTAAACAGGTAAAATATATATATTCAAAAAGTGTTTACCTTGTAGAGACTCATGAGCATTCCAACGACGAATAGAGTGTAAACAGTTCTATAAGCAAGCCCTCCAAACACTAGGGCACAACCCATCCTTTCCTCTGAAATCATTAAAAACGTTTATGGTAGTCATAAATAGTCAACATTAAATTATAAGTATTTAAATTGATATATAATTTTTTTATGTGAAATTAATCTTTGAGCTAGATTTTCTTTTAGGTTAGAGTGGCCAGATATTTCATATGGATGTAGTTACACTAATTTGTATTAATTTATCATTGCATAAGGTTTTGATAGATATTATATTACGTTACTAGTCCTGAAAATAAAACCGCAGGGGGCTCACGCTTGCGTGGGTTCGTGGCCTGGGCGACCACGCGGACCCTGGCTCTCCCAGAGGGGAGGTAACTGCCCGGTGTCAGACCCGGCACTTCAGGTAGACCACAGTTATGGACGACTGGTAAGCGCCAGCCCCTTAGGGGGAGCCTCCAGTGACATTCCCTCCATTCAGGGTGGGGGGGGTGTTTAGCTCTCAGTGACGCCGTTAATTCCGCCTCTCCTCAACTACCTGTAACTGTGGTTGTGACTGAGTCCTACCTGTTGTGTTCGACTGACATTTTGTGAGGCATATCCTCGATTTTGGAAGTAGCCTCGTCCTGGGAGGTGAAATACCTAGCCCCCAGAGGGGAGGTAAATGCTCCGTGTTGGTATCGGCATTTCAAGTTGGCCACAGACATGGTCGACTGGGCATCGGGTCCCAGTGACATTCCTTTATCCAGGATGGAGGGGTGTTTAGCTCTAGGAGAGATGGAAGTACATCATAATCTCTAACCTACCTGTGTCTGTGGTACTTTGGGCTTCGGCCTGCTTGTGGTGTGCGACCAGCATTCAGTGGGCAAATCCTCGACTTTGGAAGTAACCTTTCCTGGAGGTGAAAACGGGCAAGTACCCGCAGCTCACGGGGACACTCAAGGGCAACGTAACTTTCCGCAGTGTGAGGGCAACGGTTTGTAGGTACTTATGCAAACCTATCCCTGTCTCTGAGCACGGACGGTATGGTTATCTTGAGTGTGGGGGGTTCTTCCCGGAACCTCAATTGAGTCAAGGGTGTCGCCACCTCTGGTGGATAGGTTCATCCGGGTGGGTCCCACTTCTATACCTGCCTCCTTTTGGGAAACCCTGATGGCCTGGCAGTGATGTTGGGTCTGACGGGCAAACGAAGTAGATCGGGTGCTGGGTCCGAGCCCGCCAGGGGTATCTGGGGATCTATCGCTCTGGATATCTCTGGTTCCCAGCAATGGGTCAGGCCTCGATCGGGCAGCGGTGTAAATGGGAGGTTGGGGTTCCCCCCGTCAGCGTGCTGATGGTCCCCTTCCTCCTGGCTATTGATGGCGGGTTCTGCCTGTCAGGGATGAGATAGGTCCCGAGTGTTGCTTGCACTAAATGCGTCGGGGCGCTCTACTATGGACCTCTAGGTTCCGACCTAGTGGAACCCAGGTGGAGTGACGCTTAAACAAGCAGCCGGAATCCCTGGTTAGGATTGAGGGGCAACCCTCTTTCCGAAGGGTCTGCTTCGGCAGCCGGCGAGCCTGATGACCTTAAGTCATCCGCCCATGATGTGCTAAAGGTTGATGCGTAAGCTTCGGCCTACATCATGGGGCCCGGGTATGTCCTGTAGGATAGGTACCGGGTAAGCAGTCAGGGGGCTTCGGCTCTCATGACAACAAATAATAATAATAATAAAAATAATAATAAAAAAAGTCCTGAAAATAAGTGTTTACCTTCGTGTGAGACGAAGTCGAGTACGGGATTACCATACGAGTCCGGTACACACATTTTGGACGAGTTAAGTACGATAGTTTATGCCATACTACTAAATTTGTACAAATCCTTATATATTTCCACCAACTAAAGGACTAAAAATCACTAGCCATGTTATGTTTTGGTTTATAACCACTCATTGCCACTTAAATACAGTATAATTAGCTGATTGGTGTCCGGTAAAACTCAGTAGTACGCAATAAAACCCCGTTTGAATAAGCTGGGGGCAAACGGCTGTTTTCTGGACTAAATCCTTGCGTGGGAAGTTAGTCAAAATAATGTAGTGAGGCGTTTGTTCTTCTACCTCTTTTTTTTATTTTATCATCCATCCGTTGATCAATTGCACAACAAAAAAATATAACCAAAACAAAAGCATATATTTTATTATGATAAAATGTGGTAGTAAAGGAAAGGTTTAAGTAAAATTTACTCGTTTTTTGTGGTCCTATACTCTACCATCTGAGCAATAAACCCTATTAATTTATCTGGCAACAACAAAATTTATCATGTCGTGGCCTTCTATAAGATGAGAGCTGCTTTGATAGGTTCTTAGTATATTAAAAATGAAACGCTGCTTAAAATAGTTTATTGGCCTTTTAAAGATCAATAGCTCCCAAAGACAACACCTAAATACACTGCTCCAGAATAGATTTTTGGAACAGTGCCTCGTGCATCGGTTTGGCGATACACATTTTAAAGTTTTATTTTATAAGACCTTTTGTCAGCTATGGCATCCATACCATCACAAAAAAGTTATAGTTTTTGTTTCTGATGTGCTTGATGAGGATGGCAAAAGGCCCCTTAAAAATAAAATTAAAAAAATATTGATGCAGTTCTATTTTAAATGTTTTTGAAATCTATGTTTACAGTTCTTCTTAAAAGATTGTTATTGTTGTGGATGTTGTGTTTTGTGTGCTTTGCAAGTGAAGCTGGTTATGTGCTGGTTGCTTGGCAATTGGTAAGGTCGTGCGTTTTCCCTTCTAACCACTTGTCTTCAAGCTCTAATTATTCTGCTCCATAACAATATTAATAGTTGACTTACCTGTGCAGCTTCTCATCCCGTGCATAAACTCATATAAGGATGAAAAATAAACGAAGACACAGTTAATCTGAAAACATAAATCATGATAATGTGGAAAGATTAGTAATAATAAATACTACTTTTAGATAGGATCTAATGACATACTTTTGATGTTCCCCGTGCCAGGGTGTTCGAAAAAGGTGGAGACATATTTTACCAGATATCATCCACCACTTTGTATTTTTTAGATAAAAACTTTTATCTTATTTTGTAACCAATCTTTATGCAAATTGGTATGTAAGGTAAAAGAGACCCGTGTTAGAAAGAAATTTAATCTTGATTCAACCTAACATTTGAAAATGGCGGACATTTAAAGTTTTTAAACTTAAATTACTCAAAAATGGCTGGTTTTATGACAAATGTCATTTAGAATTTTTAATTATCTTTCAAACGATACCAAGTTCAAAAAGATCAAATAAGGAATAGCTGAAATATTACGATTTTCAGTTGTAAAATGGGGTAGAATAAGGCAGAAGCTAGTAAGGTTTGTTGTCGGATTAGTTTTGGGAGCTATTATTCGTAATTCAAGCTACTACAACTTTTGTAACCTTCAGTATTCTCTGTACATAGTTTTCACGTACATTACTTTATACTTCATAGCTAAAACATGGCGGCATATTGAATTTAGGTGTTCAAACCATGCAAGCACAACACCAACACTCATAAATATTAAATGTAAGAAAACTAGTAACATCTCTAAGTTTTAAAATCGATAAAGGGAGACTAGCTTGAAGTTAGCTTGCACTAGCTTGAAGTTTAAAAATATAAGAAGAAAGTCTAATTTAATTATTAAAACAAAAATGTGGTTAGGTTAATAAAAACAAATATAAACTACCAGAGATAATCTAAACTTTTTGACATGCTTCTTGTAGAGAAATTGCTAGAAAAACTTATTGAATATTACGTGTTTTAAATACTTTTTCATTGGATTATTCTACTTCTTATGTAACTAATATGTTATTTTTTATGTTCCAGTTTCAAGTTTACGTACCAGTGCTAGGATCCCAAAAATCTTAGTTCCATTTCGTAGAGAAATACAAAGACAGCATGTTTGAAGAGGTGGTAGACGATACATCTACAACAAAGGAAGGTTTGAACAAAATAGAAAACAAAATAAAATAACCAAACATACCGTTGTGAATACCATATAAAAAACATTAACTTGCAATATTCTAACTTGGATCCTTGCATGATATGTACGTTTCTAATACACAATACGAGAAAAAAGTATATCATTCACATTAAGTATGTCTATACATCTCTTTAAAATGTAGAAAACACTTCGTCGTGTACCTTCAGAAATATCTTTATTTGTTTTTTTGGGGGGTTTGTGAACCTAAAACTTACTTATTGCTTTTTTTTAACTTTGAGAGTTGCCAAGATAAGTCTACACGAAGAATTTAACTGATTGGTTTTCTTTATACCTTCTATATTTTATGCTTATACCTTGCTACAAAGCATAGGTAGGCTTATAAAGATACTGATATTAGCCTAATCATAACAATAAAATATGAAATATTACAATTTAAGTATTTATGTATCGTTATTGCAGTTTTGTACTGTTTAAGAGAATCCAAGTTTCAAAAAAATTTGGTGTACCTATTCATGATAGACATTTTACAACTTCATAAACTATTTAGATTACAAGTTTTTATCCATTAATTGAAACTGAAATATTGATACTATTAAGCTGATGACCATATACGACTAACCAAGTTATTATTTTCAAAACATACGACTTACCTTTGACTATCAGTACATACGGTTCTAAACTGAATTTATTACTCAATGTATTGGCGCTATCGTGGCAAGTAACTGAAGATATCTGTCACATTTTAACAGATGCTAACGATTAATCGAAATCGAACAGATCCATCACTCATAGAAAACGTTACGTAGGTATAGCACTGTCAACTAACTGAAAACTATACTTTAAATTCGTTGGCCTGGATTTTACTGAAGAAAGGCCCTAAATGTCTTACCGTAACGACGAATTCTCCATAAGAAAGACATAGACATTTTAAAAGTTGAATGTTTTGAATTTTCTTCGTAGCTAATCACTGTACAATAAAACAGCAGTATACTAAATTATTATTGTTTTCTTAAGTTCTTCGACATTGGTTGAAAATAAATTGGTTATATGTTTTTAGGGTGAAAACTAAATTCATACCCCATAAAATCCCCTATTAAATTCAGTTTCCACAGTCTGATCATGCTGCTTCGCAAACCCATTTATATGAATGTACAACTACAGTGAAATTGAAATTTGTACAACATTTCAACAAAATCGATTAGATCTTTGAGTTATGTATATATGAATTTGTGTGAGTAATTAAATACTGGGCCCATTAATTAAATCAATTCCTTATTACATTGTAAACCAAATGTCTTTCGATTGTATAAGCCGTTAGTTTCAAATTATGCTACCAGAACAGTACAATTTATAAGTAAACTTGGAAATTTACAACTGAAACAAATTGTTAATTTAACGTTTACTGTAAAAACCAAGACTTTTCTTTTGAAATATCATTTTTCATTGCTTATTATTCCAAATGAGCCTAATCAATCAAACAATTTGAACAGAACAACGCAATTTAATAAAAGTTATTACAATTAAAAGTTTAACAAAAAGTTTGCAAAATATGACTGATTTGCCTAGCTCTCATAGGGTTGGATTACAAACAACGCAGCACCTTTCTTTTCATACGCATAATTAACAAAATAAACGTAAAACAAAATAAAAAGAAAGGCTCCTTTACACTCTACCAATAGTTGAATATTTTGTCCGTAGACTGAATATTTTAAAGTTCGTAGACAGTTTTTTTACGAAGTGGAAATAGTGTTTACCTACGACAGCTTTTTCAAAGTAGCCGTTTTTAAAAAGATTCGCCTAAAGTGGTTTAAATGACTGCATTTAAGTAATCCCATTCGTTGCTAATGTTGCAACCGGTTTCAACTCCGTGGAGTCATTTTTAGGCTTCCAAGAATATAAGTTATCACTTCATTTGAAAGTCATCATAGTAAAAAAAAAACTAATAACACGAAACACGTACATTGATCACTGATCACTGATGTTTAACAAAAACACACAAAATTACTGAGAAGGTGAGCGACGCGCACCGGCCGGACGTAAGTCTAGACTATTGCCTTCATATCTTGTCACCGATCATCGCATTCCCTTCTACCTTCTATCTCATCCAGTATCATGATTGCTGTATTGTAAATAAAATTAGACTCAAATGAGAAATTTTCGTTCAGCAAGTTCTCTTTGTCAGATCTTACAGCTCTGTAAATCTCAAATTCCTCCAGTGTATTTCTATAAAAACGATCTTGTGAGGAATGTAAAATTTCCATATTGTTGTCCATACTTGTAAAATTATGATTATTTTTGTAGCTATGGGATCGGCAAAATTTGAAGACTGAGGGGATGTTGTTTTTCTTGGTATGTGTTCTCTGAAACATTTCTTAAAAGATATTTAAGTTTGACCGATGTAGTACTTTGTACAATAATTAAACTTGATCTTGTAAACACCGTTTTTATCATACATTGGTATGCTTTCTTGTGGGCGTTCTTTCAGTAATGATTTAAGTTTATTTGTAGTTCCGAACGAAACCGTTACATTAGTTTTAGCCATCAAGTTACTAAACTTTTTGCTGAAATGGGTACCATAATCTGCAGAGATGTATGTTTTTGGTTCTTTGGGCTCGTCTGGTTTTTTATTAGTGTATTTAAAAATTAACTTGTCAATTAAAGAGCTTGTATAACCATTTGCAAATGCAATGTGCTTAGTTGTGTTAACTTCTTCGTTGTAATCACATAACTCCTTTCGTACGGACAACAACCTATGAATGAAGCTATTGGCTGCGGGTTTATGAGAATAGGGATGGTGCGATTCTGCATGTATGGTCTGGTCCGTGGATGTAGGTTTTCAGTATATTTTGAATTTTAAAGTGCCATTCTGCTTAGTTATTGTTAAATCTAGGAAGTTTAATGAGCCGTTTTCTTCTTTGTCAATGTGAACTGTAGGTTTGGGTGTAAGCTGCATAAATATTTATTTAATAAAGATAGTTGTCTAATATTTCCATTAAAGAGAACTATGGTGTTATCCACGTACCTATAATAAAACAAAATATTACTTCTGTAACGATTGGCACTTGTGAAAATGTGTGTATTTTCAACATGGTTTAAATAGATTTCTGACATGATACTGGAGAGGGGGGAACCCATGGCCAGGCCTTCTTTCTGCTTGTAATAATTGTTTCCGAACTTAAAATAATTCTGTTTTTTAATACAGTATCTGTGAGGTTTATGAGTTCATCCAACGCTTTTTGAGACAATTTTGAGTTTTTTGGTGGGTTTGTTTTAAAATTGTTATTGTTGCTTTTATAGTTAACTTACATTTGTGTTGAGACTAACAATGTCAAACGATGCCAAACTATAACAGTTTCTGATTGTTTGGTCTTTAAGCCACATTAAATATTATACAGTAATCCGGAGGCTAACATCCATAAATATGAAAAGATTCACTTAGCAGCATTGTTAATTTACTTTATCTACGTCCATTTTTTAAGTAGCCGTTTCAGTTTAGTTCTTAGAATTGAAAAGTTTCACATAACAGAATTGTTTACTTTCATATCATCATAGCCTTACCCATAACAACACGGGTAACGGACCAATGAGGTTCAAGGATGGAGAGATAAGAAGTAAAATTTTTATGATTCGAACTTTAACTAATCAGCTGTTCAGGCCAATTTAATTGTTGAGTGGTGCAATTTGTGTTTGGTATGATGTTTTGTTGCATCACTGTAAATGGCAATGAGCGGTTATAAAACAAAATATGACCTCTCTTTAAAGTTATGAGTTAGCAATAACACAACTGTTTTAGTTCAAGTAATTTAAACAAACCCGCGATATTATCCTCTAAGACAGAACCTTTAAAGTCACTCGCCAAGGTTTGTACCTTAAATCTTCCAGAGACTATCTTTATGCGATCGTTGCATAAACTACTTGTTGTTTTTGGCTTAGGACACTAAGTTCTCACCTAAAAATGTTTTCAAATTACTTCAAAATAAATTGGATTAAATTAAATTGCGTCAAAATCGGTTGGATAACATCCATTTTGGTTTGGCTGGAATTGTTCTCTTGATCTATGGAACAAAAGCCCCTTGATTTCCCACTAGATCAGCTCGCTGCCGTCACGTTTGATTTAATGAGGTATCAAAATATAAAAACCCAGATTCAAATACAGATTATAAAATTATTTATTCAAGATCATTAGAATCTGTATGCTTACAATGCCCAAAATTCGAATAATATATACATTTTATCTTATTAGTGATGAATATATTTTGTTTGGTACTTACATTGAAACTTTGATACCACGAATGGATTAATTCCTTATAGGATGTGTCGTGAACGTCAGAAAAAAAACTTTTTAAGTTCAAATACAAATGTTGTTCTAACCATAAAGTACTTCAATATTTCTTGGTTAATTAGCCATAAAATTGTATTAAACAGATAATTGCAGTAAGAAGAGTATAATTTACTATCAAAAATTTAGTGAGAGAATAAAAATCAACTTTTTTACTGTTTAAGTGCTACTGCTAAGATTAATGCGTTCTCTTAAGTTATCTAATGTTTCTTGTTTAAGCATCTCCAGATTCTTCAGTCGCCCCCTCAGTGAGTTGTATATAGTAGCTGTACCCAACATAACATCCATACAAGTCCCAACCTGTGAAAAGAAACAAGACATGATAAAACTTAATTTAATGATAACGTGAGATACCAAAATTATATTCAGTTAGTCACTTTATTTGTGCTGCGTGAAAGACAAAATATGTGTTTTTTTTATTTAAAATGCTAATATCAAATTTATGAGCTTAATGATGTTAAATAAATATATCCATTACCCAATATTTACTTATTAAATTATCAGTTACGTAACAATAACAGGGTAACCATACCTACTGAGCATGGAGATCTTAGAAAGTTTATAGCTATCAAGTGAGAGCTAAACAATACACTATACTTTATGTAACTATGCAAAATTACCATTATATATGCAATAACGTTGTCTCGTCAGCTTTATTAAATTTATGCAAATTAGGATGTTGAAAACGATTGAACGAACTTATTACTTTTCTTTGTAATAAGTTCTATACGCTTAGCTGACGATGCCTGACGTATCATTTCGCAGTAAGCTGTTATAAAGCCATGAATGAGTTTGATAAGTTATTAAATTTTACGACAGAGGTCCTAACCCAATAATTTTATGTCGATGCATTCTCATTTTGGTCTGGGATTACAAAATGTATATAATGTCAACAGTAACTTTTGCTGTAATAATTTAACTATTCAAATATGAGTATGTTTAATGCAAGTTTAGTTATGCTGAATAACCTTCACATGATTGGTAATCGTCTTCAATCCATTTCAGTTATTAAACTCGATTGATAAAACCTCAAAAGGGTATTTTGGAGAAAACCCCTATAAAAAGTAATAAAAAGACAAATACGTACTATTGGGGGGCCAGTTCCTTACAACAACCTACAATGCGAGCTTGGAGTTTTAAAAAGTGTTCGGCTAAGTGAAATCAATTATTTTAACTACCACAACTCACATGATAGTGCTATATAGACAGGTTGAAATCCTGCAGAAAACTTGCCCATTGCGGGAACCATTACGAAGCTGGTGAACAGTGACACAAATATCGTAGCGAACACCCACCATAATATCAGGCGAGGATTGGCAGCCTGATGAAACAAAATTAGGAACATTATATTTTTGTAATATAAGAAGTATAACTAATAACTTATTACTGACTGCAAAAACTACAGACACAATTGTACTCCTTGCATGCACTATTGTAAGCATGTCCTAAATTATTATTTAACTTTGAGTTTTCAACATATCATCAGTTTTAAAATTACTGTACGTTTTCCGTAGACTAATAATTCACTGGCCACTGTGTAAAAGCTACAACAGATAAATAATCATATTATTGACACCACACTGACATTTGAATACGGAAAATTTGTTTACGCATTTTTTACTTTACTTTTAGAGCACCAGATAAATAGAATAAGAGTTCAAATTAATCAAGAAAAATACTTATGCTAATGTTCTCTACATTTTGGTATTATTTTAGTGGGATGAGAATATTTATTTTTACTTATAGGAGTTCATAAATCTTTACCTTGTACAAACTCATGAGCATTCCAACGACGAAAAGAGCGTATATGGTTCTAAGGCCCACCTCTCCAAACACTACAGCACAAGCCATCCTTTCGACTAACAACATTGGAAATATATGAAGTAGTCATAAAAAAAAAATAAAAAGCAAATATTTTTTTAAAATACAATTTTAAAAAGATCATTTAAAAGGTAAATGAAAAGGCTTTTGGTAAAAGTATTCATTTTGTATAATGCAATACCCTTGCTGACCAATAAACCTAGATATAGATTAGGTATAAATAGTAAATAGCACGTATTAATCGTAACATGAAAACCTATAATTTTATTGATAGGGTTTGATTATATTCTCCATTAATAACAGGCCATGGTGGTGGTGTTTGGTAACATTGCACCGGCTGGCCTATTGCCATGGCATTAACAGTAACAACAAACCTGTAAGCATGTAGTTGTCACTGAATTTGGTTAAGAAAACTATTCATTACAGTTGTTTCTGCCATGGCAAATGTTCTTAGATTCTTATATAAGCACATTTAGAAATGTATCTATGTATCCATTACACAGAAACTTCATTACATGTTAGTGAAACAGCTGATTTTGTAGGCCGGGGCTGCGGTGGCGTGGCCACTTATGTCTCGCCGTGGTAGAGGAGGTCATGGAAAGAGCTTTGAAAGGTGCAAGTATATTACTAAAGTATACTAAATAAAGGCTATACAATGAGGATTTGACCTTTGGAGATCTAGCTTTGTGCCAGAAGACATAGCTCTTTAACAGTGCTCCAAAAATTATTTCGGAGCAGTAGCAGAGCATTATGAAACAGTTTTGGCCATGTACATTTTTTGGGCCATACATTCACATTCTTTTCGGAGCTGTGAATTTTTCACCAATACCTTTCGAAGCAATAATACGAAACGTTTAGTCATTTCTAGTGAGGCTTGGACTTAGTGATAGATTTCTAGAATGTGAACGATAAGGTCCATGTTTAACAATTAATTGAGGTTGTTGATTAGTTTTTTGCTGTTGTGGTTTGTGTGGTTGGTATGAAAGGTGTATGTTCTAGTCATTTGGAAGTTGGTGAAGTTGTGGATAGTCACTACTAATCACTAGTCCCTCAGGCTCAGATATCATTGATTTAGTAAAATATTAATAGTTGACTTACCTGTACAGCTTCTGATTTCGTGTATGTACCCATATACGGATGAAAAATAAACGGAGACACAGTCAAGCTGAAAACATGTATCTTGATGTACCAAGGAATTAAAATTTGAAACATTAAAACATTTATAAAATTAAAACAACACATTTTTTCAGATAGGGCTAATAGGGTCAGATGCGGTATGATTGAGGAAGGGGAATACGTATGATGTATTTTGTACCGTACTCAAAATTAGGTTAATTAGAAGCAAATAGAAAGTTTTACTATAAATATTCTTTAACTACTTTACTCTTTTTATCTTACCAGTAATAACACTTATTGCATTGGTAGCTGTCTCGATCATACAAAGGATTGCATTTTGTGATGTATTATAAGTAAGCCGACTGTTGTTTAAAGGCTAGACTTATATTATGGCTGAATTGGTTGTCACTAAGTTTTTGTAAGCGTTTCAAGCTATTATAATCTTTGTAGCCTTATATCTTTATATTTGTCATGCACATTATACAATGTTTCATCGCAAAGACATGATGACATCTTTCTAGGTACAAAAACCAAAACTAAATTTAAATTTAGCATATAGGCCAAGTAATTAAAATAACGATATTTATAAATGGTGTGATAAAATGTTACAGCTTTAAAATCGATAGAGGGAGAAAAAGTGCTAAATATTTTGAAATTAATGGCAATCAGAAAAAAGAAAAGAAAGACTAGTCTTATTATTGCAAAACATAACTGAGTCTGGATTAATCAAAACAAATGAAAAGTAGCATAGAGAAACCAACCTTTTTACATTCCTATGGGAAGTAACTAAAAACGTATTTCAACATTTTGGTTTTGAATGTATTTTTAATAGGATTACTTTATGTCTAAAGTAACTAACGTGGTTAGTACTGTAATGTTTTTAGTTTGAAAATCACCTACCAGTGCTAGGAACCCGAATATCTTAGTTCCATTTCGCAGAGAAACGCAGAGACAGCATGATTCCAGAGGCGGTGGATGATACATCTTAAATTGCAACAAAAAATTACGATGGCCTTAATAAGAACAAAAGAAAACATACGATTATTGACACCAAAGTCAAGTAGCATTATAAGCAGTTTTTAAACTAGCTTTCTAAACTAGATTTCTAACAAATAGAAATGTGAAATAAAACGGTGTAGCCCTAACATACACATTCATAAAATCGTGTGTACGTCAACCTTGAACATAAAAATACCACCCCTTCGTATAACATCTGATAGATTGTTTCTTGTATGTTGGAAGGGTTGTAAATTATTTGCTACCCTTAAATCACGTATTGTTTTTTTATCGGAGTTTGAACGTTACCAGGATAAGTTTACGTGAATGATTTAACTGATTGCTTTTCTAAAAAAAGAGGAAAATTCTAAACAGTTTATTTTTGCTTTGTTTTAATTTTTCAAATACTTTTTACTAAAGTGTAAACACTGTCATGCAATAGATGGAAACAAATAAGGTGTAATACATTTTAGAATTTAATGATAGGTTTATCCATAAACTTTGATGTCTGCCATTTATCAAAGACAATAATATAAAATAATAATTTGTGGTACTAGGGGTCTTTAGCAGCACTAAAGCCTGTACTTTGTTTATTTTGTTTTTTAGGCCCATACATTGCAACAGAGCACAGTTAAAGATACTAATATTAACCTAATAGTAACAGTAAAATGTAATATATTATCATTTAAACTATTTATGCTAAAAATTAAACCATCGCAAATGCACTATGAAGAGTAACGTTTAGGAGAGGCCAAGTTTCAAATTTTTATAAGTGTAAAGTGCTTTAATGGGGTTGTAAATATTAATGAGAGGCATTTCACAATCTTCATAAACTATAGTTTAAAAGTTAATTTCCAGTAATTGAAACTTAAAATATTGTTAGTCTACTTAAGTATTAGTGAAAATAAGCTCATAACCAAATACGTCTATTCAAAGTTATTATTTTTCAAACATGGACTTACCTTAGGTTAACAAAATATACGGTTTTAAACTGTGCTATATTACTCTGCTTGTTGGAGCTATCGTAGCAAGGTACTGAAAAACAGCTGGCATTCCAACAGATGCTAACGATTAATCTAAACCAAACAGTTCTATCACTCATATAATATTTACGTAGACACAATGTTACAACTTTCAATTTATACTTTAACTGCGTTAGTTCTAGTAGTCTAGTAGTCTAGGGTTTACTGAAGAGATACTTTTAATGTCCAGACGAACCAGATATACGGAACCTAGCACACCGAAATTCATAGAACAATAGTTTTTTTTTTTTTATTTAAATTAATGATTTTTATTTTATTAGTTACTGTTTAAATGTAAGATAACAAACATAAGAGCTATAGTAAGAAAACGTAATTTATACATTCCAAATTAGTTGATTGCTTCATTCTAAATTGTGTATATGCTATTGCATTTAGTTAAGAACACCATTCATTACAGTAGTTTCTATCATGACAAATGTTCTTCGATTCTTATATAAACACATTTAGCAATGAGTGATTTAGAAAACATTATTAATAAGAACATCATTGCTTATTAATTACGTTGTTTCGATTTTTTTTTAAAGTAAGTACATTTGTTCTCACTTTCTTAATTGTTTGTATTTCGTTCTTCATTCAAGGATACAACACACAAACCTAACTTTTAGAAAGGTTTGGAGCAGAGTCTAGGCTCATACTTATTTGTAGCGTTTATGGAATCTCCGATCCATAACCAATTTTACAATCTCCTAATAAACAAGCTACCGTATGATTTTCTAAAATATTATATTTCTAATTTGTTTAATTCAAATAGATAAATCCATGCAAGAGTGTGTAAACGCAAAATTAATTATGGAAAAGGTGTTAAGTTCCATCCAAGACCTGTAAAATGATATGAAAGTCGGATATACTACCATTTCTGTAAATCTTGAGCTACCCCCTGACCCTTCTAAAGGTAAAAGTTTGTAAAATTCACCATCATTATTGTTGCCCTAAGAAGGTTGCCACAAACCAATTTTAAATATCTCAGAAAGTTGAAAGTAAAGGGGAATGCAAGCTATGTGTAACTAGGGTGGAGCAAGCCGCCCTCTACACAGGGTGATTGATATAAGTGTGCAGGCTGTTTTATTCGAAAACTATAAGAGATATAAAAAAAGGTTCAATGGTAAATGCCTTGGATTTTAGCGAATTTCCCTATAGGGAAGTAGCTATTACCGTAGGTGGCACGGTAAGACCTAGACCCGGGACCGATTTACTTTTTCATTTTGATGTCCCCAGAGGCCAAAAACACCATTCGTTAAAATTTTTATATATGTATATATATATATATATAGACTTATATATATATACGTCCGTGAACGAGATAACTTGAGTAATTTTCGTCCGTTTTGATGAAATTTGGTTTAAAGGTGTAAAGCCGGATAAACTTGAATGAGTTCGCGAACCAGCACGATCGGACCATGGGAACGGGGCTTTACGGGGGGTTTTATGGGGTAAAAATTGGTTTTTCTCACTTTTGACCCTCAAAACACAAAACTTTTCAATTTCTCTTTAAACCTTTTTAAAGAGCTTAAAAAAACAAATAATTTAGTATATAAAAGTATTTTTGTTCGATTATTAGTAACCGAGAAAATTAAAAAAATTGTAAATTTAAAATTCCCATGTTATTCTTATGGAGAATACTGTCATATGTTGTAGTTTGCTTGTTTATGGATATATTTTGATCAAATTTGGCAAATTTATTTATTTTGTACTAAGCTATCAATATTTTACTCAAAAACACACTTTATTAGTTTCCTTGTAGCAGCAAACCTAGGTACTCGTTAAACCTAATGTTATTAAAATATATTTAGGCCTAACTGAAAATCAATTCAGACAAATGGAAATTCGCTTAGTCGGCAGGTTTGCTGCGGCGGGGGTATTTTATTTTAAAAATTGTAGTCAAGTCGAAAAAAAATATTGTAGCCACCATTTTTCCAATATGGCCACAAACTTTAATTTTTCTTATGGAACACCCTGTATTTTATGATGTATATCGGTAGAAAATGTAATTTTAAGACAATTTTACTCTTATGCTTCTTTTCATAAACCTAGCTAATTCAAAGATAATAATGGTTAAAGTTGTGAAATTTCGAATAGTTTTCGAATAAAACAGCTGGCATGCTTGCTTAGGCCTTTATCAAAACTCTTTCTCATGCCGAAATTTCAAAACTTTAACCATTATTATCTTTGAAACGGTTAGATTTATGAAACAAAAACACAATAGTAATTGTCTTAAAATTACACTTTCTACCGGAATACATAATAAAACACAGGGTGTTCCATAAGAAAAATAAAAGTTGGCGGCCATATTAGAAAATGGTGGCTTAAATATTTTTTTCGACTTCACTACAGTAACAAGGCACTTACCATTTCACTTATTTTGATATCTCTAATAGTTTTCGAATAAAACAGCTGGCACACTTATATCAATCACCCTGTATATGTTTAAAAAAAATAACCGGCTGTTCTGAATTTGAATGAATAGCTTTAGATTCAGTTATACAATGGTGCAACATCGTCCCATCAACATATGTGGGTTTTCCACGATAATTATCTATAATGGCCCCCACAGCCTCACAGCCTGGGAACACACAGTTGGGTATTGTCGACCTAATTAGTGGTTCTGCTTTTGCATTATCAATTCGTAAATCTTTATTGCGTTTTAGAGTTTCACTGTTACAGTTTAAAAATGATGAGTTTGCCCTTAAACGAGATACCAAGACTGGAATACTGTTTTTTCGGTGTATCGCTCCACATTGGAACCCAGCTTTTCGCTTTTGTTAGTATGGTAAGTTGTAACTGGTTAGGATAGAGTTCATTACAACATCAAGAATCCATAAATCAATTTCTTTACTTACATCAATATTATTTAAACTATAAACATGTTAAAATATCAGTGTCATAGTCAAAGTTATGGTACAGATTGAATAGTGTGTTCGAATGTTTTCGATCTTTTGAACTCATCCCAGAGGTGACCATAATTGAATTGTTAAAAACGTAAAACTTGGGATAAGGATAGGATTAAAAAGTCAATAAAAGTAAATGTTTGACGTCAGTGTAGATAGACAATAACTACTCAACTCTGTTAAAATGACTTCCTTTCCCTGATTTTGTATACTTATATTTCAAATTTTTGGGGATGTTTTTTTATCTTTAATTACAAAGTTATTTTTGGGTGACAATAACGCTACAAAGTGATAAGCCTAAGGAAAAGTAATGTACTGTTACTTTTGGCAAAGCAATGCTTCGTTTAAGACATTAACAGTATAATACTGTTACGATGACTCGAGTTTGTATTTTTATTCAAAACTAAGATGAGGAAAGGTTTTCCAAACTGCCAATTAATTGTCTATCCACAAAAATCAGCCATAGTATTTGGTTTCAAACATGATGATTTGCTCTATTCCTATGATATATTATGATAATTTATTTTTTCTTGACTGTAATGACTTGATTTCCAGTTATCCTGCCTGAAAGCATTTCTGATGCTGTTCGGTGTATCATTTTTCGATCATATCGATTGTGTGGGTAAGTAAAACCATACAATGAGAATCGAAAAAGTAATGAAGCTAATTTACTAATACTAATAAATGCATACATTGAATTTTGGAATTTGATAGTTTGCTTTACATGGCATATGGCTGTATGGTGATAATTTGGTTGGATTTTTTTTCGTCATGTGAGCTTTACATTTTGGTGGGTAGAGCTTAAATAATTAAAATAAACCTATACAGTTAAAATAAAAATAAAATTTTTATTGTTTTCAAATCATTTAAGTATACAATAGAACTATAGATCTAGAACTTACTTTATTTATAAATTATAGAAGCTAAAACTTAGTTAAAAACCTAGCTAGTATTTGGAATCTAGTATTAAAGAAGCAGCTATTATTTTATGCAAAATCCCTAAGTGACTAAGAAACCACGTAAAACCTCGTAGGTGGGTGGCCTTTGACCAAACATGAGAGAGTATTTTTGTTTTAAACACTAAACCCAACTTTGATACATATTTGGCTAAACTCTGATCGCTCAGGGCTTCTGTGGAAGTTTAAGCCGCAAGAATACCACGAGCTGGCCGAGCTGACCTTTAACGCAGCTATTCAGTCTAGAATATGATGGATAAAATCAAAGTTTATTATCTATAGCTCTTAGATTTTATCAATCCTAGTTCTTGTACACAGCAGTCGTAAACATGTATTTAAGTACGGTATTGAAATAATTTACATGACATGTGAATGTAGTTCAATATGATAGATTCAAACAATATTTTTAGCAAACAACTTAAACATGAAGAATTGTCAAGGTCGATATTGTATGAATAACTCAAGTTAGTTACCTCCTTAAAAAATAAAAACGGAAGTCTAATAATGCAATAAAAAATACATAAAAAGTATTAGTTTATTCACCCTAGACTGCCAACTACCATGCCAACAACGGTAATTTGACTTTTATTTTACTACATCCTTCAGATTTTTTGTGTTTAAATTGTATCAAGAAAATGAAATGTACTCTCTATTACATTTTCTCCTTTTAATGAGGGAAAAATGTGATTCATGATTTGGATAATTTTTGATTCAGCTTATCTGTATTGTATGAATATATATTTTAATTTAGTTAAAATTTTTAAAATTACGTAACCATTTAATTAAAATTTGATAAATTTGCTTCAAAAATAAAAATAAATAAAGCTGACTTTTCTTATAAATTATTGCTGTATGTGACAATGACGAAAATAGTTCCGAAAACAGAATTATTTTATTACGAATAATTTTCTGTTTTAATTTTCCATTTCAAAAGGTAGTATTTAGGATGTATACAAAAAATATGTTAGGATGAGTTACAGTTTTCATACCCCCCCCCCGTTACTATGGACAGTTACTTATGGAAACTCGAGTTACTATGGAAATCCCAGTTACATGGAACCCCTAGTTACTATGGAAACCCTAGTTATTATAGAAACCCTAGTTACTATGGAAACCCTAGTTACTATGGAAACCCCAGTTCTATGGAAACCCTAGTTACTATGGAAACCCTAG